TAGATACAGAGATTTTTAGAGGACGAGCAGGCGCCTTAGTGGATAGTGGAGCCACTCGTAGTTATATTAGTAGGAAGGCGCTACAGAAGCTGAAGTTGCAGTTAAAGGTCCAAAGACTAACAGACCCCATACTAAGTATCCTCGCGGACAACCACACCATGCGAGTCGAGGAGTACGTAGAAGGAGTCCAGGCGTATTTCCGCATGGAACAGGACGGGAAGGTGGAAAAGGTCCTCCATTCCCTGACTCTCCTCGTAGAGGATAGTCTCCCATTTGATATAGTCCTAGGTATGGACTAGGGAGAGGTAGCAGGGGCCACACTCCATTTGAGAGAGCACGAGTGTAGGCTCCCTAGTCCGTCAGGCGGCGTCAAGACTGTCGTCTGTTCGATGTGTCAGGGGTAGACAACTCCCTGGCGCACTGCTGCCTTAGTGCTCCTACGTTTGCACGAAGAACCGGTTTTTGTAGCCTATGTTAGGCCAGTAACTGAGCCTAAGGAAGAAAAGCCTATAACCCTGCTATTGCCAAGCTGCTGGAAGAGTTTAAAGATCTAGTTGAGCCGCCGATAGGAGTAGTATGGCGGCCTATCCAGCACCGCATTGAAATTGAGCCTGGTAGTAGAACCCCCAAAGAAGTTGTGTATAGGATGTCTCTACGGGAGTTAGAGGAGTTGCGCAAGCAATTAGACGACCTCCTCGAGAAGGGTTGGATTAGGCCCAGTTCGTCTCCATTTGGAGCACCTGTTCTGTTCGTTCCCAAGAAAGAGGGAGAGCTTAGGATGTGTATAGACTATAGGGGTCTGAATGTTATCACAGTTAAGAACGTTGAACCACTGCCCATGATAGACGATTTGTTGGATCGGGTGCAGGGGTGCAGATATTTTAAGAAGATGGATCTAAAGTCTGGATATCATCAGATAGAGGTTCATCCTGATGATCAGTATAAGACAGTTTTCCGGACTAGATACAGGCACTACGAGTTCATCGTGATGCCCTTTGGGCTAACCAACGCGCCAGCGACTTTTCAGTGATGCATGAATGACCTGTTTAGGCCTTGGTTAGACAGGTTTGTTGTAGTGTATTGGATGATATCCTAGTGTTCAGTAAGACCCTCGAAGAGCATCAGGGTCATCTCACGCAGGTCTTGGAGAAGCTGAGAGAAGCCAACTTCAAGATCAACGCAAAGAAGTGTGAATGGGCAAAGACCCAAGTTTTGTATTTAGGCCACGTCTTAGACGGAGACGGCATCAAGCGAGAGGATAGTAAAATCACATCGATCAGAGATTGACCTACACGTACATTAACAGAGTTGCGATCGTTTTTAGGCCTAGCCAACTACTATAGGAAGTTCGTAAGGAACTTCTCCATGATCGCTGCGCCCCTTCGCAGATTGTTGAGGAAAGAAACCATCTGGAAGTGGGATAAGGACTGCACATCTACTATGAAGAAGTTAAAGCAGGCACTAATAGAATATCCAGTCCTTAAGGTAGCCGATCCGTCCTTACCCTTTGTCGTTACTACGGATGCTAGTCAGTACGGCATAGGTGCTGTGTTGCAGCAAGACGATGGCAATGGTTATAGGCCTGTAGAGTTCATGTCTGCTAGGATGCCTTCAGAGAAGGTTGCGACATCTAACTATGAGAGGGAACTCTACGCTCTCAAGCAAGCATTAGAACACTGGAAGCATTACTTGCTTGGGAGGCACTTCAAAGTCTATTCCGACCACGAAACGTTAAGATGGTTGAAGACGCAGGCCAAGATGATACCCAAGCTTACTAGGTGGGCCGCAGAGATAGACCAGTATGATTTTGAGCTCAAGCCAGTCAAGGGAAAGTATAATGTAGTTGCGGACGCAGTGAGTAGGAGAGCTGACTACTTTGGAGCAATAGTTCACTATCTGGACATCGGGAAAGACCTTCAGCAAAAGGTCAGAGAAGCGTACGCGCAGGACCCCATCTATAGTGACCTTCTTAAGAAAGTAGAGGAGGCCCCAGAGACTGAGCCAGATTATCGCACTACCGAAGGATTGCTCTTCGAGAAGACTAATGTAGTTGATCGATTGTGCATTCCCAATAGTGAAGAGATCCGCAGTCTGATCTTAGGAGAATGTCACGACACAGAGGGTCATTTTGGTTGGCAAAAGACTCTAGCCAATCTAATGCACGCGTACACTTGGTCGGGTGTGAAGAATGACTGCATAGAGTATGTTCGCAGTTGTAAAGTCTGCCAGCGGAATAAGATCACTACGCGTGCCCCGCTAGGTCTTCTCAGACCCTTACCTATCCCTGATCAGCCCGGAGATTCAGTGTCCATCGACTTCATGGACGCGGGCGTCAAGAGTAGACATGGCAAGAGCCAAGTCATGGTGATAGTCAATAGGTTTACTAAATACGCTGTTTTTGTTCCTTTGCCTTCAGAGGCACGAACAGAGTTAGTCATCCGTAAGTTTTTTTATCATTGGGTCAGTGAGCACGGTGTCCCATTGTCCATAGTTAGTGATAGAGACACCCGGTTCACGAGTCAGAACTGGCAGGAGTTGATGAAAGTCTATGGCTCTAAGTTGCTAATGTCATCTAGCCGTCATCCAGAGACCAACGGTCAGACCGAGCAAATGAATAAGATCCTACAACAAGCTCTGCGAATGTACATTAGACCAGATCAGGTTGACTGAGATGAGATGCTTCCCAAGGTAGCCAGTGCCTACAACAATAGCATGCATCGGTCTACGTGCCGCACTCCCAATGAACTGCACGAGTCCTTTAGACCGCGCAGACCATTTGAGGGACTCAATCGGGATCAGATTCACAGGCTACCGCCCTGTGCTAGGGAGTTTGCGATCCAGCACGAGAAGGAACTAGCTACTGTTATAGAGAACCTCAGGAAGGCCCAGCATAGGATGATAGAGCAAGCCAACAAACATTGTCGCCCCTCACAGTTCCAAGTAGGCGACTTAGTCTGGGTCAGCGCGAAAGATATTGCTACTGAGGAGAACATCTCGCAGAAGTTACTGCCTACGTATAGAGGGCCATGGCCAGTTCTAGAAGTCAAGGGTGGCGAGGATGGTCCGTCCTACACCGTTGAGATTCCACTACACCTCCACACCTACCCAGTTTTCCATGCGTCAAAGTTATTGCCGTGCACAGTAAGTGATCAGTTTCCATCTAGACGTCCCATGATCCCTCCGGACATGGATGGAAGGTATGACATTGACGGCATTGTAGGTGAAGATGTATTCAGAAGAGGAGGTAGAGGTCGTCCTCAGAAACAATACAAGGTCCGATTTGCATATCAAGAACCAGGAGACGACCGATGGTACACCCGAACTAAACTTCTAGAGACAGCTCCCGATATTGTTAAGGCCTACGAAAGAGAGAGGAAAGGTAAAGGTCCTGCCTTCGATTGAAATGTTCTCGGAGGACCTCGAATTTAGGCCGGTGGGAGTGAAACGGTATTCACCAGTTCGCAGTTGCGGATGCAGATCCCAAGGCTCGATCCCTAGTTCCCCACCTTACCTGTGTACAGTACCTGTGTCAACCCGTAGAGTTGAACCTGCGACCTGTAGGACCACCAGTGGTAGCTAGGACATCGTAGGTTACAGGGTATAGGGGATTCAAACTGTAGACCCGTTGGGTAGGAGTCTAGACAGTCCAGAGGTCTTAGCTGTAGACTTTCCGAAGGGTCAAAGTCGTAGCTGCTACTTACCTGAAGGGGCAGAGTCGTAGCTGCTACCGTACTGAAAGGCCAAGTAGAGGGTTCTAAAAGTGGCCTTTCGGAAGTCAGCCCACTGTAGGATTAGGCAAGTGGGCAAGTGGTGGAAGTCCACCACGCAGAGTCAGCAGTCCTAGTCCAGTCAGTCCGGTCCAGTCAAGCAAGTAGCGTCTGGGACTGTGTGCACCGTGGGCCAGGGAGACATGGCAGACCAACGTGTCACAGACGTATAAATCAAGAGGCCGCGCACAGCCATTTATTCATTGCTGCGGAAGCCATGCGGAAGCGCTGCCTCAGCGTCTTGTCTGAGGAGGTCTGCAGTGTGCCCGAAGTCGAAGTGGGCCAGGAGCGTAGCATAGCGATAGGGTAGAGGCAGCCATATCTGCCATAGCTGTAGTAGAGTGTGTGTGTGTGGTCTGAGTGTGCAGAGGGATGCGTGTGGGATATCCAGGGTGGTCCGGTGAGAGAACAGTGGGTTGTTGGGCGTTGAGTCGCCATAGCCATTGGAAGTGAACTCATACCTGGAAGCCATATCTTCGAGTACTGTGTGGGCGCATGTCGCCAGTTTGTTGTGCTGCTGTTCACGTGCATGAAAAGTGTGAATCTGATTGCAAGGCCCAGCAGCCCAGTAGCTGCTGTACACAGGCAGCCTCCTGGGGCCTTCCGAAAGCTTCTGGGCCCAGGCCAGTGCAGCTAGGGTGCGCGAGCAAGCCACTCTTTCCATAAAGGAAAGAGCTCTCCCTTGGCAGCCTCATTCGTTCACTTGCTGGCTGGCGGCATCGCTGCTGGAGCGATAGCTCACGGGCTGGTTGTTGGCATTGGGAGCAAGAGGCTGCGCACATGCGGTCGTGTGGTGAAGCAGGGCGCTGCTGAGGGCAGCGCCATGGCCAGCCTTCATAGCGGGCTGGGCTTGGATGTACAGTGAGGCGCAGGGGTGGTCTTCGGATGTAAGGGAGGACGGACGTGGGTGTAAAGTCAGGGAAGGGCGAAGGATGATGATGATGATGACGTGAGGGCACATACCTTGTATTGGCGATGATCTGCATTTGGGCACCATCTTCAAGTACTTCGGGTTGCTGCTGATGTCAACAATTGCATTGTCTATTAATAGGCTGATCGTAGCTGTGTAGGAGTAGGCTGGGCGCTGAGCGCCAAGTAGGAGTGTGAAGGGACTGGACTCTTGTGTTGTGGCAGAGAGAGCTCTCCTTGACATTGGTTTTCAGTACTACGAACCTTGATTGGTGTATTATTGGTGCAATGCTGCTCTATGGACACAGTGTGACTATCTGACTTTCAATGTGATGGTGTAATCTGGAAATTGTCATCTCGTTGTTGCTTATTTTCCTTGCAATTTGGTATCGGAGCTGGTTCATATTGCGCTTCATTGGTTCTTCGCAATAGCTATTGGTGCTTCGCATGAGGTGTGGGACAGTGATAAGGCATTGGCGTTGAACATTGGGCGGCCCAGAGTAGAGTGGGCGCGCCAGGGAGCTATGTGGTGACATACGGGGTGTATGCTGGATGATGAGAGCTCGCTGATGTGACATAGTAAGCCGAGGTGGAACTGCATTCTGCTGTTGGTTGTGCGGAGGCAAAGACCGGTCATCATAAATGCACATCAGGTTGCCGGTGAGAAATCTGTGGTTGGGGGCAGCATTATGGGGTACGTTGCTCTCTTCCTTATCTACCCTCTTCGTTACTTCTTACCGTGAGGAAGTGAGTTCTGTCTTGGGAGTCCTCTCGATGTGATTGATTGTTTGGTTGAGTGATTTCGCAGGGAAGGATCAGGCAACACAAACGGGCCGCTCTCTCTCTCTCTCACTTTCAACTAATCAACCGGTCGATCATTCAATGAGTCAACCAATCAGTCAACCAATCAATCAATCAATGAATCGATCGATCAATCAACCAATCAATGGATCAACCAATTAACGAGGTCACTCTTCTCTCTCTCTCTCTCTTTACTCGCTGCCACGTGGCAACGATGAACATCATCATCCTCATCAAGAAAAGAACGAAGAAAAAGAACAATAGGAAGAAGAGGAAGAAGAAATACAAAAGGAAGATCAAGAAGAAGAGGAATAAGAATCGAATGGAAAAAGAAAAAGAAAAAGAGGACGACGAATTGAAAGGAAAAAAATGCCGCTAAAAAAAAAACAAAAAAAACGCACGCTGCTATGCCACATGTTAGCTGCGCAGAAAAGAAGAAGAAGAAGAAGAAGAAATGGATTCCAAGGAGAAAAACAAAAGAAAGACAAAATGGAAGAGCGGGGGCAGGGGGGAAGGCGATAAGGGTGACAATGTGATTATGGCCTAACTCACACTAAGATGCCATGTGCACGAGTTCTCAACCTCCTCCGCTGCACCGACAATTTGCCGCACCGTCCGCTCACCACGTGTCGCCCAATCCACCTCTCACCCCACTACAGTAGGGTCCACTCGCCGCGTGTCGCCCAATCCACGCTCGCCACGTCTCAACCTCTCCCATGCACCGACAATCTACCGCACTATCCACTCCCCACGTGTCGCCCAATCCACCTCACCACCCTCGCCACGTATCAACTTCCTCAACTGCACCACGTGGTGAAGTGGCCGCTACCCCACATCACTTGTCCGCACACTGAGCTTGAGTTCGAAAAAGCACTCAAGTTGTCCGCACGCTGAGTTCGAAAAGCACTCGACTTTACAAATTGTGTTACTTGCGCTGAAGTTGTGACATGCTCCCTCATGCACATTTTATACGACAAACAGTCAGGTGCAGCGACTGACGAAGCGGGAGAGAGAGAGAAAAACAGAGAGACAAAAGAGAGAGGAGAAAAACGAAAAAGAGAGGAAGCGAAGAAGCCAGGAAAAAGGGGAGCAAGAAGCCACACCACAATTGAAACACAATGAACGAAGGCATGTACCCGAAAA